GCGTGTGCGTGTATGGGTGTGTGTCTGAAAATTTCATTGATGGTTTTGTAACAAAGTGTGTTGCTGTTATCTTGGTTGTTGTTGTACGTGTTTTTCAGAGGCAGGAGCTGATATTTCATAAGCGGTAGGGCATTCGTGAGTGAGTTTGATTGAGTCTGAGCGTGCTTGTGTTATATATGTAAGAGTGTGTGTGTGTGTGTAACTGACAAGTTTTGAGAATCATACGCTTTGGGAATGTTGGCATGACTGCGCCCGTCACAATATCCGTTCATGGATTGGCACACAAACGTCAGAAGAAAGAATTATTACTAAGCTGCACAGCTTACAAGCAGACAAGTATCCAGAGAGTTTTTCCTATATATGTACAGGAGTGTTGACACTTTTAAGTAAATCTATATGCCTATTTTTTAAATATTGCGAAATGTACAATAATTTTAAACAAGCCAATCATTAAAAAATCAAAAGAAATATAATTGAATTATTATCTGAGTTTTTATCACTTTGAGTGTAATCCTTTTGCTGATGTACTGCACTTTATGACTTTTGTTCTCATTTTTATGTGCACTTCCATGGTCAACTTTTAGTGTCACGCATGTCCGTTGTGGGTATTTTTATTGATGTGTAACTTTGATTTTTACGATTTGTAAATGTGATTTTTTTGCTTCTCTTTCTTAGCCAACTATTTTTTGCATTGATTGGCGTCAACAATAGCGCCCAAGGCGTTTTCGCTCTTCGTCTTTCGGCTCCAATTGCCACCGAGTACAACCATTTTCACAACTATCTGAACTTTCCAAAGAAGTTGGGGTTGTCATCTTCCTCTGCTTTCCTATTTTCAAAGCTGGAGTTTCGTCATCCCGCCGAACTACATAATCTACGAGGTGATTAACAAAAGTTAGGTCAGTTGATGACTTTGAATTTGTCTTTGTTAGGTCTAAAAATATCAAATCCTTTGCAATTATTTTATTCCTTCTTCCTTACAAATTTTAGAACGATACGCTAAAATGGAGAAAAAATTCCACCACCAATGCAAAACAGAAATTCGCGAAGTGATTTTCAGCCAATACAAATATTCAGTGAATACCAAGTTGCATATGGAACGAATGCATCGTCTTTAAGGACTACTTATAAGTGGTTCCGAAGATTACAGACCGGACATTTTTTTGTAGAGAACGAGGCTCGTGAAGGCTCTGATGAAGTCCACAATTGAAGAATACCCACAACTGATAGATCATGACAACGCGCTGGCGTAAAGTGTAATTTTATTGCGATCTCTGGGATCGAAGAAATACCCCTAGCACCATATTCTCCGATCACGGCACCTTGTGATTCCTAGTTATTTTCAAAAATTAAGAACATTCAAAAGAAAGGGTTTTTAATAGCAACGATGAGCTAATAAATGCGGTTAAAGCGGAACTTTATAAGCTTAAAAAGCAAGATTTTGAAGATTGTTTTCGGTAGTGGATCCATAGGCTTAAGGAAAGCTTTGATATCAATGGCGATTATGTATAAAAGATAAAGAAGGACAAAGATTACGAACAAATACAAAAAGAACTTTTTTGTTGTTTTTTTCTGGTCCACTTACCGAACATCTGTTAATGCCCTCGTACATAACGTAACCGCACTCTCTTTATAATTTGTCTTCATGTCGCCATTTAACATAGTTCCACTGTCTGTGGTGGTCCTCAAACCGCAAAGTACCATAAATCGTTCAAACGTCCTTTCTTTCGAAGACTTTCAAGGCGAGTCATCATATGTGAACATCGTTCGTTGCTTATGCTGGTTCCAGGCTACCCAAAGTTATTATCTACAACTTCAATGTTATGACTTTCAACAGTGATGCGGGAGATGTTTCTTCTTGTCCTTCTTCACTATCAAACTCCTTTTGTATTACGCCTAGAAAAAGCTACATACCCATACTGAAAATTATATCTCTGCAGCTCATATCCAGTTAAAGAAGGCGCGGTGTAGGGTGTCAAGCTGCCTTGCACCGCGTTTTACAGCGCAATGGTCCAGAGATGTTCTTCTAGAATCTGGCAGAGCTTTTAATTTGGTTCTAAATCATTCCACACAAACGTATATAATTTGCAGGAATATGAAATTCAGACAAAGCGGCGTAGAAAAAGTTCATTTTAGTGATTTAAAAACTTTAGATTTGAAAGCGACTGGGAGATGGTGTGTACCGATACAAAAAAAATTTGTCTTTCACGCAATACGCTAGATGGGCTATAATGCGTTATTGAGAAGACATATTTCATCCCACCTTGTTATAAAGATAGTCTAATGTATTGTAGCTATTTACTTTGTCCGTTCTCCAATATCTTATCTTTATAGCTCAGCCGATAAACCATCGATTTTTGCTGCTCTGTCATCCATAAAACGATCAATTGGTATTCGAACTTGGGCATAGTTGAGCCCAACTTCGGGTTTGGAGAAGTGTTGCCGCCATAAATTCAGTTTTCTCTAGGATACGCTCCGGTCTTGGAGATTTCTACAAGTCGCCGTACTCTTATCAGCCATATTCTCAAGCTCTTTTTACTTACCCATTCCGGCATCGTTCTTTTTTGTAAGCAAATTCGTATTCGTTCTCTCCCCCGCTTTTTAGGTGAGGTAAACAGTTTGTTTGTTTCCACTCATCATCGCACTAGCTCTTCGTTCATATTTTCTACTTAGTTTCGCTTGCTGCATGATATTTCAAATTTAAGCTTGAGATGTCGTGACGTCGATCCTTTACACTTAAGTACCGATGAGTTCTCAGAGCAGAAATACAGGTTCAGTAGAAAGCCATTTGGTTGTCTGTTGTTATTTCCTATCACAATAGCACAACTTGGTCCGGTCTTGCGCCATCCTTATCATTTCCTAAACAGCGGTGATGTCAGCCAATTGCCCTCAGAGGTCATCAATCAACTGGGCATTGGCACATTCCCAATTGAGAGAACAGAAATTCCCAATGCGTGACCTTAACTTACGATCCTTAAAATATTTGCTGTGATCGTCATCAAAAAGTATAATTGTTTTTTTTTTTTTTTTTTTTGTTTGTTTGAGGTGGAATTTTTGCAAATTACAGTAGAGAACAAAATGTCCACGGAGTTTTATTAAATATTTTTTAACAAAATTTTATAATAATCTTATTCCAGTAGCAACTTTTTGGTTAGCTTCATAAATCTAACGGTGTGGAACTCTTGTGGCTTAGCAGCGAAGAATTGTTTATTTTATTATCAAAAGAATTTTTCAGAGGTCCAAAGAAAATGTTTGTTAGATTACAGTACTAAGCTCCAATCTTCGCCAATTTTCGCATGGTCATCATGGATGTATGTGGTCTGGCGTTGTCATGTTTGTTCAATTCCGTACGCTTTTTATTGTTGGCAAGAGGTGGTTAAAACTGATGGTATGCCAATAGGATGTGGTTTACGAAGGGTGACTGAATACGATTGTTTCGTTTACCATTCTCGAAATCTAACAGCAATATTCGGATTGTTAGCAGTGCTAATTTCTATTCAGAAGGCCGGGATTTGAGTTGTGGTCCAACCAACATCCAAAATTATAGAAATTCTAGGCACAAAATTTCAAGCCCAGTGTAAAAGGTATTGGTCGTTCCGAGGCCGCTTAGATTAAACTGTCCCTCTATTTTTTGCAAGAAACATCCAGGCGCACACCACAAATTGGAGAAGGAGTACGGCCGAAACCCGCTTCAGCGTTCACAAGCGTGTTTCGTGCTTCTTTCTTTGCTACCTTCGGACATGTTGCCTACCGGTTTTTCTTCACCAGTCTCATAACTTTACCAGGCTTTTCGTGAAAGGCCAACCAGAACGAGTTGCATCTTTGGCTTCCAAATTTCGGGAACAAAGTCGAGAAAACCAATTTTGGATCCTGCATTGACTTAAAGCACCAGGTGTGTAAGTACATAAAAAAACCCATTTATTGTATGAGATGATACAAAATAACTTATTCAAAGTATTGTCCGTTGTCTTCTATACATTTCCACATCTTTCTGACAATTTGCGGATTCAACGCCAAAAGAACTGTTGATCTTTTGAGGCAAACTAGTCATCGATCCATTTTTGTACATCTTCGTAAGAAGTAAAGCGCTGCTCAGCAAGTGCGTGTCCCATCGATGCAAACAAGTAGTAATCGGATGAGGCAAGGTCAGGTTAGCAAGCCGCGTGCGGAAGAATCTCCCAACGGAACGATGCAATCGTTTCCTGGACCTGTTTTGTTTTGTGTGGTGGTGCATTGTCTTGCAGCAAAATCACCTTGGGTTGCCTTTGTTGGTACTCTGGTCGTTTTTCACTCAAAACTCGATCCAAATTGGTCAGCTGTTGTCGGTAGTATTGAGTATTGACAGTTTCCCCAGATTGCAGCAGTTCGATTGGAAATCTTTGTCGGACACCGCTGACGTGAAGTTTCGGTTACTGCAACGACATCTAGCGCAACCTAAAGGCGAATGCCGGTTTCATACACAAATAAACATTTCTTTCACCGATGTTAAATTTTTATAGGAAAAAAGTCAAACGTTTTCGAAACGCGTTTGAAAAGGAAAATAAATTATCACACGAAGGACGATTTACGGTATTGGATTCCCGAAAAGAAATGTCAGCGCTCAATCACTTGTTAGCTTAAAACCGAATTACTGTTGCCTGAAATAATTCATTTTTGACTTATCCAATAATCATAGAATACAGTGCATTCTTTTTCTTTATCTTTATTTAATTGCTTAAGAAATTTCAGAAAAATATCAACCATAAAATTATGGTATAAAAATCTCAGTAAAGCATTTACTGGAAATAAAGAAACCATTTAATCGTCAACAAATACTAAGAAAACAATAACCAAAAGCCACGACTCGAAACGCCGACGAACAAAAGACCCGCTACAATGGCTGCGTGTGAATGAACTACAACAGCAACAACAACAACAATATCAATAATAGCAACAATGAGAGCCGCGACATGAAAAAGAGCAACCATAGTGAAAAATTAAAATGATGTTTCAGCAAAAAAATTCAAAATAATAAAAAATACTCCGAAAAAAGGCTGGAAAAAATACTGGAAAAAGACTACAAATAGACCGAAAAGGAGGAAAAAAGTGAATTGACATTTTTCTCATAACTTAATAGTAGTAGTTTTGGTACAATTGAAATATGTACTAAAGCTGCCATAATGTCTGCGCCGTTTGCCTTACCCGGTGCGACGCGACGGCCGGCTTGCTTTCTCAACCTTTTCTACCGCTCGCTATTTGGCCAATAGTTTATCTTTTTCAGTTTTTTTTTTCATAAATGTCGCTTAACTGCGGTCGGGACAGACAGAAAGAATGCTTGCGATGACATAAGAGACTAGCCAACGTGAATGGCGAATGAGCAGCAGAGTGGGAGAGGGTGTAGTTTGGTGGGTAAGTGAGTGAACGGAAGACAAAAGAGGCAATAAGAGAGTGAACAATCAACTGGGAGCATAATGGCGGAGCTGGATGCTGAAAATAATAGAAAATTTTTGTGAATGGAAATACAATGATGAGGCGGCTGCTGCTTAAAATAACTAAGATAACTAAAAAAAACTGAACTAACTGCTGTGGCGGCTGCTAGAGTTTGTTGATTGGCGTTAATCCTAAATGACGTTGACGTTAAGTGAGTGAGAAGCTGTGAGCACGTCTTTTGTAAGAATTTAAGCCTAAATCCGTACTTTATATGCAGGAAATGTTTACTCGCATTTAGTTGATGTAAAAGCAGGGGATACTAAGTTCAGCGCGGTCATTCTGCACCTCATCGCACCTGTAGATTTTTCGTCCTTTCGAACGACGTGAGCTAGATAGGACCTGCATATCACTCCTTAGAGGCATGAGACCGGACCAACGTCAATCTTTCACAAAGCGGACCAGTTTGACCTATTTTTATGCGGGTGTTCAGGGGAAATCCCCAGCTATAGTATCATTTGTTGTCAATGATCGTACAAGTCGGTAAGGTGTACCTACGAGCGGTCAGCGACGCTTTACAAATAAGCAATTTTTCTGGAGTGAAGGGTTCGGAAGATAGCCAAACTTGAGATCGTGGACAAAGCAGATCTGTTTCATTGCCTACGGACCCAAGTATGGCGTTCTACTGGTTCTTCCTCTCCAATGGTAATTGAAACCTTGTTTCGGATGCACAGTTGGCTCGGTCTTGTTTTGAGTGCTTCACACTATAGCACCTTAAGGTTCTCTTCACTAAAGCGATAGTAGATAATCTCTAGCCTTCAGCTCCACCATGGAGAGACATCTGAGGTATGAAGACCGTTCATATTATGCGCCAAACATTCTAAGGAGGTTTCCAGAAATTTGCTGCTTCATCTTGGACCAGACTGAGCCAAACTCGAAACCAAGAGCTATACATTGATATGAACCAGTACCACAGGTAAAAGCAGGGCTTGCCTGCTCGTTGGGAATAATTTTAGTTCTCCAATCTTAAGCTACCCAGTAAGAAGGGCATTCTAACTATTGTTACTACTCTTACGGACCACTCTTATCGTGGCGCTTAACGTGTGTCTTTATTTACTGCAGGTCAATCCAATAGCTGCAAAAGTAAGTAACTGTAAGGCTCAGGGAGTTGGTCGGCTCAATTATGACATTTCGAGATCTCAAATTGAAAGCATAGAAAATACAGCTTGTGCAGGAACTGAAGTTGCTCCACCTTCCCAAATGACATCGCCTTGCGCTATGGGCTCTTGAAAAGTTCCTAGAAGATCCGGCGTTTTCGAAGCAAATTTTATTGAATTATTAGGCCCATTTTTAGCTGAACGGGTAAGTAAATAAACAAAATTGTGGTATTTGGTACGAAGAGCTACCTAAAGAGATTCAAGATCTGCCATTTCATCCAGAAAAAACAACAGTTTGGAGTGGCTTATGAGCCGCTGGAATCATCGGCTCATATTTCTTCAATGATTCCGGTGAGGACATAACCTATAAACGTCAATGGCGACCGCGACATGATAACCCACTGTTTGATGCCTTAAATTGAAGATCGTGATATCGGCGACATTTGGTTTGAAGAAGGCGGCGCCACTCCCCACACATCGCACCAATCAATGGATTTATTAAGATAACCCTACGATGAGATGAGAATTTTCTTATTTCTATAAAGATATGTAAAGTCCAAAGTTTAAGCGGACAACACCGCTTTGATTCAGGCTTTGGAGCAGGATATCACGCTTAACATTCGCCAGTTACCAACCGCAAAGCTCGAAGGAGTCATCGAAGATTTCGCCTGAGCTCCTCCTCCAATTTGTTGTTTACCGTCTGGATTTTCTCAAACCAAAAACTTATATTAAGCTGCCTCCGAGTGCCTGATGGATATGTATGAGAAGGTTTTTTATTTCATTTTAGAAACACAGTCTGGTATGATATCCCCCCGAAGGATGACTGCAATTAGTAAGTTTAATTTTTCTTGTCGAATCAGGACATGAAATTCTTTTTTCTTAAAGTCATGCCAACTCTATTTACTTATTTTTACAAAATTGCTCAAACTGTTACCTTCATATTTAATATTAATTAATTTATTTCAATAAATTCCATAAAAAATTTATTCATTTTAAGCATAGACTTGTAAAAGCAACTTCAAATTAGGACAGTTGGTACTAATTCATGTACTTTTATCTAGTTTTTCTTCCTTTGGTTTTTCCTCGTCTTCCTGTTATTATGTGTCTTGGACTTCATATTGAAAACGCGGCAACAGTAATCGCAAATTACAATTAACCATTAAGAAAACTCGGCCGTTGCCTGCTTTTAGGCGCTCAGAAATTATATTCATTACAAAATTTAATTAGTCACACAGTTTTTTTCTTCCATGTTTTTTTTTCATCTTTTCCTTTTCTTATAGGAGTTGCGCCTGCAGTAATTTCCGTGCCGTTAAATTACACTTTATGTTGTACTGGAAAACTTTTTAATTTTAATTAATTCACAAGAATGCGCATGTTAATACATATCTATACATACACATATAAATGTGTACACAGTGAATTAGTATGAGCGAGGAGCGCGAGAAACTAGCACACAGCAACGATGCTGTACGCCTCGAGCGGACATTCGAAACAGGCCAACCAGGTCAGTTGCTTGTTATCACCAACTTCTCTTCCACACAAACTTGTAGCTTTACATTGTCATTGTACACCCATAATTACCAGAAACATTATTTCTAGCACGCCTAATGCGTACGCTTACAGGAAAATCTATGTAGTGCTGCTGTATCGCCATAGCAACAACAAGGCGAGCAGGCAAGCAACAACAGAGAGCATCGAACATCGTTTGCTATTGTTGAGCCGCAAATTGGTTTTCACTTCGATTTTCCAGCAATTATTTGCACCATATTTTTATTTTTCGTATTTTTTTGCTTTTTTATATTTGTAATTTTTTCTTTTCTTTGCACTCAAAGCAAAAGCAAAAAATGCATATAGCGCTAAAGAAGAAATTAGTAAGCACTTGCCACTTGCCACCAAACCGATTTTATTATTATTTGGTTTCGTTTTCTTTTCCGTTTTGTGCTCAATTTTTGGTGTTTCCAAATGCCACATAAAAACCAACAGTGGTCGCCTGTATCGCACCACCACTGATTGTCCACAATTTAATGTCATTGCTTGTCTCGCCGGCTTCGACAACGCCAACGATCTCGCCAGACCCCAAACTTTCGGCCATCAAGCTGGCGACAAAATAACGAATTCGCATGGAGCGCGGAAATGGAGGAAAGTTGGTCACCATTTGGCTGAGATGGCAAAGAATAAAAGTAAAAAAAGAAGAAAAAATATTTAGAAAATAAAATAAATAAGAAAAGCAGCAACAATTTGGGCCACATTGCGTTGCTGCTGTAAACAACACAATTGTAGTTGGTTGGCCGCCGCCTTACGCCATCCGTCGAATTCCACATCATCGCTGCGGCAGCATCGTCGTTAAGTATCGATGCGGTTTGTGTTGGTGCCAATTTGCTCAGCTGATTTCACTGCGCTTTTTTGGGGTTTTCAGCATAATTTTTATTTTTATCTTTTTTTTTTTTGCTGCTCGCATTTAAGTTTGGCCACAATCGGGTGGTTTGTTGTTTATGAAAATGGAATTGGTTATAGTAAGGCTTTAGTTGATAGTTGAACCCACGTGGTAGTTTGCGAGTCTGAAATTGCATTTGAATTACTTTTAACATTAGAGAGATAGACACACCGCAGACGAAACACAAATTTTTTTTCATCAATCTCATTTTTTGTCTGTCTTGATTGTGACCATGATGGCTTGAGTTCTTGGAAAAAAACTACTCACATGGCATTTTTTGTCTCAACGTAGGGAAAATTCGCTTTATTTATTAAATTCGAAAATATATATTATATCACTCAAATATAACAAAATTTTATTCAGAATGTTCATTTAATAAATATTAAATAGATAGTAAAAAATTTTAAATTAATATTGCACGATTTCAACTAAATCGCTTAAGTTTCTATAATTTCATTTTACACAGTTTTAATTTAGCTATTTAATAAACTTAATTTTGATCATCTTATTTTATTTATTTTGCTTTTTCTCTCTATTTTTTATTAAAGATTTTTTTATTTTTATTCGTAATTTTTTATTTTATTTTTTTAAGTTTATTTTATTTTATGTAAATTTATTTTATTTTTTTATAAATTTAATTTAAATTAATTTTATTTTATTTAATTTTATTTCCATAAATTTTTAATTTAATTTTATATATTTTATTCTATTTTATTTTTTCTTTAATTATTTTATTTTCAATATACTTATATAAAATAAACAGTTTTTATTTAACTAATTAATATTCTTATTTTGGATTATATTATATTAATTTCGCTTTTTCACTCTATTTTCTTTAAGGTTAGTTTTTATCATTACTTTTTTATTTTTATTTTATTTTTTTTATAAATTAAATTTAAGTTAATTTTATTTTATTTAATTTTATTTCCATAATCTTTTATTTTTATTTTGCTCTATTTTTTTTATTAACTATTTTATCTCAATTTTACTCATGTTTTTATTTAACTATTCAATTTTCTTAATTTGGATTATATTATGATATTAATTTCGCTTTTTCACTCTATTTTTTTAAGAATTTTTTTTATTTTTACCTGTATTTTGTATTTTTATTCGTAATTTTTTATTTTATTTTATTTAAGTTTATTTTATTTTATGTAATTTTATTTAATTTAAATTTTTTTATATTATTTTAATTAAATTTAAATTGATTTTATTTTAATTAATTTTATTTTATTTCTTATTTAGGCGATAGAAACGTCGTCCATAATGTCATCTGTTTTGTTCTAGTTAGGAAAGGTATTCTGAATTTCTTTTCGAAAAATCTTGCATAAAAACCTCGCCCGATGAGATAATGTGTTGTCTGTTAAGCGATTTAAACGTGTTATACTCTCTCTTGTCTTCAACCACACCCCATGCAGACATGGTGAAATATCCTACTAACAGCCTTATTACTCGTCTGGTGGTCAACCTCTTTGTTCATCCTCTAGTTAATAGGCTGTCTCATTGTCTTCATGTTCCCTTTGAACCTACCCAGTGAAAATCAACTTCTTTGCAAAAGGACCGCTTTTTTATCTACAAAGCTATTTGTTTTCCTTTAGTGAAGGCCTGTCCCGTGCTTTACCTCTGCCAGCCACTCATTATGTTTCGAAAAGTTTCGATTCGTGTGTGACAGCTTGAAAGACTTCCTCATTTCAAAGTCTTCTGTTTGTTGGTTTATGCAAACCTATTCTCTACCTCCATCCATCTGACTTTATAATAGCGTTTTTTGTAGCTTTTCACAATACTATAACTCCTTAGAGAGCAACTGCTACTGCGTTAGCCCAACAGTTCAATGTTCTAAGTGCATAAGTCGTACTGCTCACTATTACCAAAGTGTCATATTTGTAAGCCGTAAGCAAGCGTTGAGCTGCCTAAAGTTATTCTTAAATTTTCTCGAGCGTTAAAACTGTTTGTTTTTTTTTTTTAAATTTTGCCTGTAATATTTTTTTGCTTTTAATTTTGATTATTCATTTATTTGTTTTATAATATATTTTTTATTTTAGTACTTAAATCTAAAGTTAAATATTATAATTTTTATTTATTTTTTTTAACTATGTCTCATGTTCATGTTCAATTCTCTAACCGCGATATGTCGCTTGTTGGCTTTGTAATGGGCTGACTCATCAAAAATGTGCTGGGTCTACTAGGAGAATTGATTACACTATTAGCGACGGCAAGTAGGTCGACTGAAGTAGATTTATTTAAACTGTTTCGTCAGACACATAATGGGTTTGGTGGGGTAAAAGTTTAATGATGAGTAAAAGAGGTTTCAGACAGGGTAATTCTTTCTCATGTGATTTCTTCAAGTTGATGCTGGAGAGAATAATAAGAGCTGCAGAGCTGAATAGAGAAGGTACAATCTTCTATAAGAGTATACAACTACTGGCATATACCGAAGATATTGACATTATCGGCCTTAACAACCGCGCCATTAATTCTCCTTTCTCCAGGCTTGATAAAGAAGCAAAGCGAACGGATCTGGTTGTGAACGAGGACAAGACGAAATATCTCCTGTCATCAAAAAAATAATCATCGCATTCGCGACTTGGCTCCCATGTCACTGTTGACAGTCATAACTTTGAAATCGTGGTAACTTCGTCTATCTAGGAACCAGCATTAACACACTGACTGCTCCACCACCAGTAGCAATGTGACAAATACTGATTGTTTTTCTCCCTCGAAAATCTTTTTTAATATCTTGGTTTGCTAAAGATACCTGCAGTGAAGAGGTAAAGTCTTACATCACTTCCAAAATTTAATCTGATTTCGTAACAGTGAGAAAATTTTTTTTCAAATATGAAAGGAACATTTCTTCGCTCAAAATCCATTTGAACGCTTTAATCCACTTCTTGGTGGTACATTCTGGACTCCCGGAGCATTTTTGTACGAATATCAGCATAGATGTATTAAGCTCAATGAAGAAAATATTGCTGCATAGATTAGTTTGTTTTATCAATATGTTCGGGGTATTAATAGCAAGCTAAATAACTTGTATATAAACAGTCTACATTGTAATTCTAACAGTACATCATTTAGCAAGGCATGGCTTAAACCTCCCTAGTGAGAATCAAATTTATAGAACTAGTCGCATAAAAAGATTCGCATGCGGGGTTCTTCTCAAGTTACAAGTTACCGCTCCTGGTTTGGATTACAAGGCATTTAAATGCATACGAGGGCTTTCCGATAGTAGTTATACATATCAGCTTCTCTTACATACCTCCCCGATCGGACATATCTGTATACGAGCATCATGCTTGTTTGTTTGAAAATGTTAGCTCGTTGGTAAGACATAACGATTAATCGATAGTTTTGGGTGACTTCAATTTGCCATGTGTTTCATGGAAAACCGTTAACGATAATATTACACCTATTTGTAATCGATCCTGTGTAAACGAGCTTTTGAAAGAAC